GAAATGATCGTTATAGTTCCCCAGAGCATACCCCACATAAAAACCACATAACATGCAAGCTATAAAAGCTACCTCTACCACATACACATATTAATCAGCTATAAAGCTACCTCTACCACATAACATATCAATCAGCTATAAAGCTACCTCTACCACATAACACATATCAATTAGCTATAAAGCTATCTCTACCATTAACCATAAGGCTATCAATACCCTTAGCCATACAGGCTATCTCTACCATTAGTCATACATGCTATCTCTACCATTAGCCATACAGGCTATCTCTACCACATATCAATGCATAACCATGCCACACACCTCTACACAACAAGTATACCATCTTACATAAAATGGGCCGGTCTTGGTGCCTTAGACCCATTGGTATAGTGAGAAGACTCACCTCGAATGCAGAAGCTTCCTGAAGAAATCCTTAACTGTTGCCCTGACCACTTCCTGACCATCAACACTGAAAACATATACCCAATTAGAAATTGGGGCCCATAGCATAACCCTTAATCCATGCATCGTTGTAAAATAACCATTTTACCCCTAGCCGAGTATGATCCAAAACTAAGGCCCAATCCTTAAAATACAACCCAACACTAAGTAGGCTTTCTAAGCCCACTAGTGGTCCACCAATGGCCCAACTTGCTCAATTCGGCCCAATCCCTTTAATGGGTCTTACCCTAAGCCCAAACATGTTCCTGGCCCAAAACATCTGACTCTTGATGGCCCACTGAAGCCCAAAGATCTAAAGTCCATTGCTTCGCCCAACCCGAGGCCCAAAACACTACAAGCCCAAAACTGATGAGTACACGGGGTGTACTCTTATGTATGCTAAGCTTACTGACTGAAAGTGGTGTACGCGGCGCATACTTGCATGTACGCCCAACGTACTCCTCTGTTAAGCTAATTTTCCATTAAGTGCTTAATACTCGGGATTTCCAACATCAAACTTCAGATCTAGGTCCATTAAGACGTCTTAAGGCATAAAGTTGGAAACTTTAAGCCTTTGCATGCTCCATATGCTCTCAACAACCCATTAAGACCTCTCCAAGGGTCTTGATCCATGCACGAGGTTAGGATACTCATCAAGATTGCATTTTTATGAAGTGGATAGACCAAAGGACCTCAAATCTACTCCCCTAAGCTCTGGAGTTGCCCAACTCCCAAGAGATAGTCCAAAAGCTTATAAAAACACCAAACAAGCCCTAATCTAAATCTCAAGCTATAAGATGAAAAGGTAGAAACTATATACCTCTTGAGACTTGCAAATGGGCTGGAGAACCTGGATCCATAAGCTCTTCCCTGATCAATGAAACTCCAAGATGATCACTACTCTTCAAGAACACCAAAATGCACTCCAAGATGGCCTTACAAGCTTACACTCTCACTATAAGGGTTAGGGTTTCGTAGAGGGGTTAAAGGATGAGAAGGAGGCTGACACTAGAGGGTGTAATGTTCTTTATATAGTGTCACACCCTAAAATTTAGGGTTTAGTGACTCTGGTCTTACGTTGGGTGTACATCTCCAATCACCTTCGACCATTTTCCCCATCTACGCTGGGCGTACCACATCTTACGCTGGGCGTACTCGCGAGCTAGCCACCATGCATGCATGGGATCATCTTGCTACTAATTTTCCATTAGGGGCTAAAATCGGCAATAAATACTAAGTGTCAAGACTCCTTTACGCCAAGTCCATTTCCGACGAACTTTATATCTACGAGAAGGTGGCAGGAAGCCCTATGCTCCCCTCGACACCCCAAGCCTAAAACCTTTCAGATAAATTTCGGGACCCATAAAAGAACAAATCGCCCCTACTCCTTGGTTTCTGAGGCCCCAACCGATTAATTTCAAACAGGGTGTTACAACTCCCCCCTTCCCCCTTAAACTAGACTTCGTCCTCAAAGTCATGCATCACCATCCCCGACAAACTAGACTACCTGAGCACCACAACCATAAACCTAGGGATAGTCTAATCTTCCCAAGGCAATCAAAACCAACCCTCGCGGGTTCTAGAATTTGAAAATGAATGATTTCCTTGCAACCTGATCACGTCAATTCCCTTTGAAACCCAAAGCTTCGAGATGGTCTGTCTCCCCTACAGACTGCCCACAACGAATCATCCTTAAAATGATTCCTCTAGAGACCATGCTAGATAGAATACTTCCTAATCATCATACCATGATGCTTCTTAAAGAACAAAAGTCACCGACCAACTGCAACTACCAAATAACCCACAATTCCATTCATAAGATCCAAATCATTGAAGTCACTTCCATTCCTCTTGCTGCCATATGACATCTTTCCTGAAGAACGGTCGGGACCTTCCTGGTCTCGACTTTCCTGCCAACTATCCGAAACACTGGATACCTTTCCGATTGCTAAGCCAGAGACACACACTCAACATTCCCACATGACCTCCGAAGGACACCTCGCCTGACAATCACTGCCCTGACGATGCCTCCTCCCTCGAATCCATCGATCCTTGATCCACCTGATCATGACAAGCTGACAACCTGTCGCAACTGACTTCGATGCAACGAGGAATGCTACTAGAACAAGTACAAACTTACACCATACCCAATGTCTCTTGATCTGACTTTTCCTAGGTTCAACATGTTGTGGTCCCATTACTGATGGAACCACTCGAGATACATCGTGATGGCTTGCGCCACCATCGAACCATACCCATTCGTTATCCTGGTATACTGCCTATGATGCCCTTGGCATCCTTACACTCCTAAATCCCATTTCACGGAGTCAAAATACTGAACTGAATCCGCGCAAACCTCGATTCCGATTCCTCTCCAAAACAGGACGATACTCTGCCGCTCCTTCGGGATCGAATATGTGTCGTAACCTCTGATTACCCTTACCCGAACGGTACTTAGGCATCCTTAGCTGATTTCCGAGATTACCAGCCTTGCACCCGATCCACCCACTAAGTTCCCAAGAGATCAAATATCAGGACCACCCAACCGTAGCCTTTCTATGTCCTGCACCGCTTATCCACAAGATCCTGCAACTCAGGGTTTAAACCCTTTCCTCAACAATCTCTACCAATTCCACTCCGAATTCCCATACACATCCAGGCTCGCCCACAGACTTCCAATCGAATCATCCTTACCACAAGTAGATAAACAGACCTTATGAACCAAATGCAATTAAAAATATTATAGATCATATTAAAATTAAAACTAATAACAATGTAAATTTCACTTTTCTATTTTAAAACAATTAGATGTACCTTAAAAAACAAACATACCATCGATTTCCAAAGGTTGTAGGTTGAATAATGCAATATATATATATATATATATATATATATATATATATATACAAACTAATCGTTCACTTTTTTAATATATAGCTTGAGTCTTGAAAAAGATACCAGCAAATTGAAAGAGTGTGTCATCCCAGATAACAAAAGAAGGATGATAAGCTTTAAGGAAATTCCTGTAGAAAAAGAAAAACCCATCAAACATTACATTAAACAACTCAATCCAGTTAATTCAAACCCTGTAACCTAAATGAACTCAATTACCATACGCGTCATTAAAGGAAATCAAGAAAACATCCTCCTGTTAAAAAAGAAAGTACAACATCATCTGTAGCAGGCCCAAGTGCGGACTGCATCTCCCCTGAAATTGTAGATATGAAGGCGGAGATGGAGGAAGGATAAATAGTTGGTTAGGGTTGGTTGAAGGAGACATGTCACTGATGATAGATTTGGAGCAGGGCCATCAGTTAGTGGCGGATGTGAAGGAAGCATCGATTGTGGTGCTTGTAACGATGAGTGGTGGATAGGGCTGGCAATTCTCGACACGACACGCGACACGACCCGCGACACGACACGAAATAAATGGGTTTGGGTTGAGTTTTTCAACCCGCCAACCCGCTAACCCGTCAACCTGCCAACCTGTTTATTAAACGGGTCATATATGGGTTTCTCAAAAAATAAACGGGTTGACCCATCAACCCGTTTATATTCTTAATAAAAAAATTATTTTATTTTTAAATGTATTTATGTATCAAGTATGAATATTTAATAAGTATTATATAATATATACCATTGATTCATAGACAATTTGACTGTTTTGACATTTTGAGTCGTGGTGAATGGTCTAAGGTCGTAAGTCGTAACCTATAAGGCTAAGTCTGTAACATGTTTTTATGAATGTTTATAATTTTCATTTGGATGTTTAAGACTTAAATGTCTAAAATTCGGACCCACGAACCCAAATTTGACCCACAAACCAGCCAACCTATGAACCTGTATAAATAAATGGGTTGGCGGGTTATATATGAGTTTATGTTCCAAACCCGCCAACACGTGACCCGCCAACCCGTGACCTGTATATTTAAATGGGTCGTGTTTGGGTTGACATATTTTGACCCGCCAACCCGCGACACGCCAATCCAAACACGACACGATTGTCAGACCTAGTGGTAGAGTGGTGGTGGGGTTGGATCGTAAATAAGGTTAGAGAGAGAGGCAAATATGGATTATGGTGGGGGTTTGTTGTCGGAAAATCAGTGCGATTGAAGAGAGACGGTGGAGATGGAGGTCGAATGCGATGCTTGTGTGGGAGAAATGAGGATGAAAGCAGTGATGGCAGCTCTCCGATTAGGGTTTATGGGTATTGGATTGAGAGAAACTATGATGTTAAACAGAAATGAAAGAAATAATATTATTATTTATTTTTTCTCAATTAATAAAACGTATACGTTTTAGTTAATTAGAAGAAACGTCATAAGTTACTATTATTAAACAATAGAAGCGCTATAAGCTTTATGTCTAGTAACAATAAGCATAATGTGATTATAAATGATGTATTAAGTTTTGTACCTTTTAATTTTCAAGAAGTAGACAATACGTTTATATATATATATATATATATATATATATATATATATATATATATATATATATATATATATATATATATATATATATATATATGATTTGTTAGAGCTACATACCATCGACACAAAAAAACGAAGATATTATAATCGAATGATATAAACTAGCGTTGATTGTTCATACACGTTTTTTTAATCCAGGAATGTCTAGACTCTAGGGTATGATGAATTTTAGAGGCAAGGGACAATAATTGGAAGTAACCATTATAAAATTGCCACGTGGAGCCAGTAGAATCATAAGATAGATAAGCCTGAAAACAAAACATACAATCCTGTAAAAACCAGAAGCACCAAACTTTGGAGCATCCATTTCGATTTCTTATTTGCAAGAATCAAAATTCAAAACCCTCACGATGTCAATAGCATCATCTCACCAAACCTTCTTCACCAACGCCCTCCTCTCTACCCCCCACAAATCAACCAAAATCCCCAAAAAATCAATCATCATCTTGTGTAATAAATCCCCCAAATCTCCATCACAAAACCCCACAGAGTCATCTTCATCCAGGTACTCCCGAATTTCAATTTCTCAACACTTCGATTACACTTCAATTTGTTTAATTTGATAGTTTTTGTTTCTGGGAAACCATGAACCTTCAGAGTTAATGACAATAATCAACTGGCGAAGCTTGCTTTGGTAACAATGGCAGCTGGGGTCTTAACACTTGGGTCAATCGATCCAGCTTTCGCAGCAAAATCCGGCGGCCGTGTCGGTGGTCAGGCGTTCCGTTCCGCCCCAAGTCAATCGGCCCCTCGTTCATCTTCACCAAGAATCAATAACTCAAGGTAAGTTCATGTGGTTGTATATACTCTATATCAAAGTGATTTGATGTTTATTTGTGTGGTGGCAGAACCAATATTTACATCAACCCACGGGTTGCGCCACCACTGGTCGGTGGATATGGTTATGGGTATGGTGGTTGGGGGTGGTCGCCGTTTTCGTACTTTGCACCTGGGCCTAGTGTGGCTGTTGGAGTCGGCGGTGGGTTTGATACCTTGGTGTTGTTTATACTTCTTGGTGCTGCGGCAGCTGTCGTTAGAAGGTTCTTTAGATCCAGGAATGATTATGATGATGAAGATTAATTACTAGTAATTTTTTGTGTAGAAGAACACACTTAAATGCATGATATATTTTTAGATGTATAGATATCACTTGATAAACTTGACGTGGATATGAATATATATGAGTCTTTGTTTTGGTTTAATGTGGAAGAAACAATTAAATAAATGTTTTTTTAGGGTTTCCTCAAAATAGATTGCTTGTATCTCTTCAAATCTTTGAGATGAATATAACATCGAAAACGAGAAAGAAGTATATAAGCCACTATAAGTTGCAAACTTTTAACATGTACGAAAAGAAATAGTATTAATGCTCAAGTGAATAATAACACAGGGTATATAGTGTCACGGGTGCAAAAGATTAAGGGTAAATTACATCAATCGTCCCCCGTGCATATGCCGCCAGAAAGCGTGTTTAGTTCCTATTTTCAAAAATTAACTCGGATCGTCCCTAATATGTTTAAAAGTTTCATGTTTCGTCACTGACATCGTTAACCGTTTGTTTTTCTGTTAAGTGACCCACATTAGAGGGGTATTTCAATCTTTTACCTAAAATGACAAAAATAAATAAATAAATAAATAAATAAATAAATAAACCTTATCTCTACTCTCTCTCTCTCTCTCTCTCCCGTCAAACCTGAAGCCATCATTCTCCTTCCCATCTTCTCACTCTGGCAACCCTCCGATAGCCCTCTGTCGGACCTCATCATCATCAAAGAAGAGAAACAGGGAGGTGTGTGTGGTTATGTGTTCTTTGATGTTTTTGTTTCATCGTTTGAGGTACACCAAACTGAAGATGAATATGGGTTGATGTCTCGGTTTATTTTGAAGACGAAGACACTACGATTTCAGGGTTTTTGAAGACAAAATTTGGGTCTTATTGAAGACGACTTCTGGGCTTTTGAAAAACAATTTTTGGGTTTTTTAGTCATTGAATTTACTTTCAGCACAGATTTATGGGTCTAAGCTTCGATTTCATTTATAGGGCTTTTTAAGACAAAATATTGGTCTTTTGAAGACGATTTCTAGGTTTTTGAAGACAATTCCTAGGTTTTTTTAAAGTCATCGAGTTTACTTTTGCTCCGATTTCACAGGTTTAAGCTTCGATTTCATCAAATTTTATTCCTTCAAGAAGTTTGAAGTATTTCCTTTTGATTATTAAGTCATCATTTTGGGGATTTTTTATGATTTTTCTAGGTTGTGGACTGTTGTAGTCTTGAATCGGATTTTGGTTTGGTTCGGGTCGTGGAGAAGCTGGGAGATGGGTGGTGGTTGGCAGTAAGTGGATGGTGGAAAGGGTAATTCTTCAAAAACAAGAACATATAATCTGACTTTCTTCAAGAACAAGAACATGAAGAAATGGAAATTGAAATCATTGGTACATAACCTTGGCTAGAATTTTGATTTTGACAATCTTCTGTTTTTTTCATTTGCATTTTGAATCTAGTTTTTGATTATTTTTTTTTGAATCATGGACTTCAGCTTTGTAATTGAATCCTTGAATGCTTTGTAATTGAATCCTTGAATTGGTATATAATTCCTGAGTTTGATTTTATCGGTCTGAATGAGTTTCATTCCTGAGTTTTGGGTTTGATTATGTGATTTCTAGGTTTGATTCCAATTACCAGTTAATTTGGTGTTTTTCCTATGGATTTTATTACGTGATTTCTGGATTTTATTATGTCATTCTAAAATGAACGAGCTGGGTACGTGATCGTGCAGAGAAACAGGAACAAGATTTTTTGCCTTCGCTATAAGGGTGGTGTGTTAGTTTTAAATTAGTGTGTATTTTTTAAATAATTATAATTATAAAAATAAGGGTAGTTATGTCATTTTCCTATGGTTTAACTGTAGAAACGTAACACCATTAACGGTAGGGACCAAATGCGCAACTTTTAAACATACGAGGGACGATCCGAGTTAATTTCTAAAAATAGGGACTAAACACGCTTTCTGACATATGCACGAGGGATGATTGTTGTAATTTACCCAAAGATTAAACACATTCAAGTTGAATGTCCTACCAATTATTATTATAAGAAATAATTTAATGAAAAAACTACCTTCCGACACTTAAGTTAGGTGCTGTTTGATTTTCTGAAGCAAAAATTCATGAAGTCTGCGGACCACCTTTGCAACCCTCTGCAGTAGAAGAGGTGGACCAAACAGCTGCAGACTATAATAAGAAGTTTGTTTGTTTTTTTAACATCTGCATACTGCTGCAGATATTAAAAAATTAAAATAAACTAATTTTATAAACCGAAAATAGCTTTTTAATACGTAAAATTTAATAATGTATAACATTTCGGTAAAAATTAATGATATTTTAGTAAAAAAGAATGATATTTCAACAAAAAATAAAGATATTTTAGTAAAAAATAATGATATTTCATCAAGAAATTATCATTATTGAATATAAAAAAATGAAAAATAAATTCAATAAGAATAAACGAAAAAAAAAAACGGAAAAAAAATGTGAAATAAAATTTTAATAACATATAATCAAAATTTCAGCAATAAAAAAAGAAGAAGAATAGGTTGGAAGAGGTTAGAAGAGACAGTACAAGTGCTGCGCCAAACAGAGCCTGCGCAGAGGTTTTTGACTCAAAAGACTTCTAAAAAACAAACAGCTGCGAGATGAAAAGTGATGCGCGCGTGCTGCACCGCGCAGCAGTAAGAGGTTTGAAGAGGTTTTTTCTAAAAAACAAACAGCACCTTAGTGTCGACACCAGGGCTAAAAAGATGAAAGAAATAAAGTTACAATATCATACAAATAAGGGAAAATGACTTGCAACATAGTTTTGGTTTTGTATATGTTAAGTTTATTTTATTATTATTATTGTCTTTATTATTGTTATTATTTTGTAGGGAAATCTCCAATAAAGTCCTAAAATTTTAGCCCGGTTTATGTTTTAGTCCTAAACTAATTTTTGTTTACGAAAAAGTCCCAAAAACCGGCAAAAGTTTGCATTTTGACCCTTTTTGACTGGTTGAAACCGATAACAAATTAATTTAGGACTATTTCATAAATAGACCCAAAATATTAGGACTTTTCTGCAAAAACAAAAAATATTAGGGTTTTTCTACAAACAAAAACCTTATTATTATTATATTAAAAATATAAATAAGTATACTATGTTTTAAATTTGTTATTATTAATATTATTAATAATACATATAAATACATTTAAATTAAAAAAATATTAAAGATATTTTATAAAGGTGAAGGTTGAGTGGATGGTAATGCTTTAAGCTTTGAAATCATGAATATCTGTTTGTATATTCTAACTTTGTATATGGTCATTTCACATTTATTATTATTGTTTTTAATTCAGAATATTAGCATTTAACAATTTAAAAGAAACTACTGATTTTTCAAATTGTTTACAAATAGTGAGCATGTGATATGCGTGTATGTCTTGTGTGTAAGTATTTTTGAATTACCAACATGTGTGTTGCTCTTTTTCATTACTTTATCCTTGTGGTTTTTTTGGAAACATAGCAGATATAGTGTGATAAAGGAAAATAAATCATATTACTTTCTATTAAATAAGATCTTTTAATTAATATTTTCGAATTTTGATATAGGCCACCAATGTAAATATTTATTGTGGATCTGTTAGATTTGAAAAGAAATCATTCTACCTTAAGAAATTTTATATACAAAGTGAGAAATCCTTTTATCTTAAACTATTTATACATAATTTTACAAATAGGCAACTTCTTTTAAATTGTTAAGTGTTAATATTTTGAATTGAAAACAATAATAAGAAATGTGAAATGATCATATACAAAGTGAGGACATACAAGCAGTGATTTCAATGCTTAAAGCATTACCATCACCACCACCTTCACCTTTAAATAATTTTCTTTAATATATTTTTATTTAAGTGTATTTATATGTATTATTAAAAATATTAATAATAATGAATTTAAAAATTAGTATACTTGTTTATAATAATAATAATAATAATAATAATAATAAAGTTTTTGTTTGCAGAAAAGTCATAATATTTTTTTTTTCAGAAAAAATCCCAATATTTTAGGTCATTTTGTGAAATAGTCCCAGTATTTTAGGTTAGTTTATGAAATAGTCCAAAATTAATTTGTTGCCGGTTCCAACCGGTCAAAAGGAGTCAAAATGCATACTTTTGCCAATTTTTAGGACTTTTTCGTAAACAAAAATTAGTTTAGGACTAAAACGTAAACCAGGCCAAAATTTTAGGATTTTATTGGAGATTTTCCTATTTTGTAAAATAAGTCTTTTAACTTATTGTTTTTGTAGACATTTAATCTTTATAATTAACTATTTCAGGTTAATTTTTCAGTTTGTACACATATAGTTTTTTTTTTTTTGCAAAATAAGTTCTTATTGTTTTATACATATTCAATCCTTATAATGAATTTCCTTAGGTTTTTTGGCTCATATGACATCTTATGTGTGACAATAATTAATGAGGTGTTTGCATAAGTTTCTCTTTTGAACACTGGTATCATGTGCTACTTGTTTTTGTTATGGTACTAGCATTGTATTATTGATCTTAATAACTGTGATAGTAGAATACCAACTATATTTAGTACTATTACCAATTTCATTCAATAGCAATATCAATTACATTACATTAGATAAATAAAAATACATTAGCCCTAATGATTTTAATTATGGGAAATAATGTCCACATTTATAACAATTGGCTATACTATTAATAATAAAAACATAGTCATTTTGGTTACATGGAAGGACAAGAAACCTTATCTTTAACAACTGCAACCTCATCTTCAAAATTCATGGTCAATCTAAAAAGAATAAAAAAACCTATTTGTAGAAAAATGGTAAAAATCGACATACCAATGAATTAGAGAAGACTCTAAACTTTTTTTAGGGTGTTATTTTGTCTTGGAATTCTTTATTCTAGTTGGAAGAAAACAATCACAAAGAATCTCATTGTTCGCTATTGAGATATATGAAACTGAAGCCAAAGACATTCTTCTTGGAGAAAACTAGAACATCACAATTATTTGACTGATTCGTGAATTAGGTTATTGACATAAGTGAGGTTAAGAAAAAACTCAAGCTTTCATTGTGGACATGATGGCTAAGAAAAGAGAGAAATTGTTTGGAAAGATTCAAGAGATGATAGAAGAACAAAAGATTCGTTTTTGAAATGAAGCACAAAGAGTGTGGGGGAATCAATTGGACTGGAAGCTAGTGAAGGAAATCATAATGTCTTAGTTGGGAGCATGGAGAATAAGTGTAACACTCATTT